TAATGGGCTAATGGGCCGCCTGCTGTATTTTTGAGCTGTGGCCACACGACGAGGAGGCTCAGAGCCCTTTCAGAAGGAGTGACCCAGGAGCTGCTGTGAGGTGGAGATGGTCTGGAACAGGCAGGCTTGAGATGAATACGAAGGGAGGCATTCAAGATTAGTATACATGGCTAATTTCATAATGATTGCAATTAGGTACAGCTGCATGAGACTGACTTGTCCGTGTTATCCCTCCCGAACTTCACTTAATAACTTCCAAATCATATGCTTTTGTGCAAGCAGAACATTATTTGCAGGAAGCTGTGTACCATTTGTGTTGAAGCTCCACTTTGAACTACCCTACTGATGCCTGAGCTAAACCTCAGAACAATTGAAAGGCTCCCTGGTTCTATGACTTAAGCCTGCTGGTATGTCACTCCTTTTGCTCATTCCACAGTCTATACATCTCCACAAGCTTCATAAACTAATGAGTCACAGGGAGCTCGGATCAGATGAACTCAGTGCAGGTGTGTGGGAGTAAGTTGCTATTGCTAGATACAACAAAAAGAGGATGTCTATAAACAGCCTCTTGTTCTTTGAAATGTTTCATAATTACTTGTTTATTTGAAGTGAAATATGCAAGTGTTATTGCATACATTATACTGTATATATTTCCAAGGCTGTAGGTTTTTCTTTCTTGTTTCCTATTACATGTTCTTATAGTCTTAGTAGCGGTCTGCTTGGCTGCCAAGGGACTTTCCAATATATTTGGAAAATTCCTCCACATAATCTGTAACATGAGCATGTAAAAAGCACCTGGGCTTCAGTATTTTTGAGCTGTGTTCTGCTTACGTATCATTTGTGGTATTGATGATGCAGTGGCATAGAAAGCTATGATCATGGAGCCTAGCACTGGTGCCACAGATAAAAAAAGGCGTTAGTAGCATCATCCGGGTCTAAAAAACATGGGGAATCCATTGAAAAGGCAAACTGGTGTGCCAGCTGACAGTGTAGTACTGTAACACAGAATTGCACTGGAGAAGCGATTAAGATTCTGGACTCCTTACTGGATGAATTTGGGTTCCAAGCCTTGTTAGGCAGTGCACGACAGGTACTTCTCCAAATTGCTCCAATTGAAATACCAGTTCTACATAAAGGGGCACAATATGTTAGCAACTTTACCCTATTTACTTTAAAGCACATAATTTAAAATCAAGGAATATTCACATAGTATAATACATGTATAACAACAGGGGCATAAAAATCACAATGGAGAGCTGGCCTTCAAATACACTTTAATCCCATCCTTCGTGAACACTTACTGTAGATAAGATAAGATCACTATAAGCCATATACAATTTCTTGCATAAGGAATTTGTCTTTTCACATACCCCACCTTGCTCTCTGTGAGACACACAGACAGGGAGAGAGAAGCTTGGGGTCAGAGCACAGGGACAGCCATTTATACAGCACCCCTGGAGCAGTTGGGGGTAAGAGCCTTGCTCAGGGGCCCAACAGAGAAGGATTCCTCTGCCAGCCACAGGATTTGAACCAGCAACCTTCCAGCAGCAGGCACAGATCCTTAGCCACAGGCCCACCACTTCTGGGATGTCTCAAAACACATTCTGCACCTGTAGCCCACTGTCCTGAAAGTACTTCCCAGTTGGTCCCTGCTGGGTGGAGGACAAGGACGGGACAATCCAACAAGGGTCCTTTAACTCACTCATGCCTGTCAGAGGGAAACTTGTGTAGGCTCTCAGTGCGACGTCTGACAACCTTCTATACTTGAGAATAATTCCTACTTTGTAAGTGGTGACTACTGCTCATTTTCTGTTAATATATTTCTAAGCACCTGATGTGGTTTCGTATAAACATCCACCCTTTTCTCTTTCAGACTGAAGGCACGAAGATGATCCAGAGTCTCCTTACGGGAAGGACAGGTAATAACTCTAGTCCAATGTGTGGGGTGTTTACGTATATGGATACACAGAATTCCAGAGTGCATTGATTCAGAATCCATTCTTTTATCAATTATTCTATACTATGTCAGTAAACCATATAATGGACGACTGAAACACTACAATCATAACCACTTCACACACAGTGAACGTGCAAAAACAAGAATCTGCAAAACAAGAATTAACCTATTATTAAGATTATATTAAATTTTTTTGCCCACAAAATAATTTTGGTTGAGTCAAACAGTAACCAACTAACTTTTACAGTAGACGTACTGTATTTTACTACTAGACTTTTCTGGCAGGGGGACTTCACAAAGGTCACATTTTGAATGAGCTGTAAATGACTTAAATGAGCTTTGCTGTGAGAGTAGCTTCCTTTTTTCATGAAAGTGGGAAATTTGGCAGTATCGGAAAGGCCACCCCGCCCACCAGCAGTGTTTACTCTTCAGGCTATTAAAATATTACTGTGAATTCCTCATTCAATGGGTTTACTTTATATGGATTAATTTAATGGACAGATATTAGCCTTCTAGTCTGATCTGGCTTATTATCCTGCTGAATAACAAGCACCCACAATCGTGTGCAAAACTGTTTCAGGATTCCACACATTGTTTAAATGCTTTTCTTTGAAAAGGTTTTGGAACATATACAAGGGGGTTAAAAATATGAAGTTTAAAAATCATCAAATTGTAGCCTTACAAAACGTGAATCTTTTCATAATGCATCATACTGTTATCTGTATATTTTTTAGATATGTATAGGCTGCATAGGAGTGGATATGTACAGTATGTGTGTACTGATAATGCCTACCTTACTTTCATACAGTAATGATATTAAACTCTTTAAAACACTATAGGAGACTAATAGGCCTTCGTCACATGGCAAGCAAAAGAATGTTATTAAACACGTGCAACTACCAGCACAGTAAAAAAAAATCTCCAGCATGGCTTTAACTGAGATGAGAAGAACAAGAAGTAGCTCTGTCTGAACTTGCTTCTCAGACACACTGGACCTTTGTGTTACCTAGAGTTGTCAAAACTTGTTACGTCGGTATCCCGGAAACGGCGAACGTACAGTAAACATTTGAGGATAAAATAATATACATCGTCTTGGCAGCTAGTTTAATTGCAGCGTTGCAGAGGGAGAACCACACTTAGCCGTAAAAGCAGCATAATATATTTTTGTCCGCCGTTCCCGGTTTTAAAAATAAACATCACGTGCTAACACAAGGAAAATGCACAGTGTAATAGGGATGTACTGTACATCAAAACACAAAGATGAATAAATCTCATTGCTTTCACAGGACCCCTGCTATTTGCTTTAGCTGAAGACACCCTTTGCAGCACCCTGTTCTCATTCTGACACAGTTCTGCTAGAGCCTGCTTTGCAGAATGGATGAAAGAATTCAGGTCTTAAAACTGACAGTATAAAAACCAGCACATGAAATATGTTCATTTGTCTTGGCCGTGCAGCAAGGACGGGCTACTGTTAATGTTTGGGTGTGCTGTTGGAGCTATCCTGCAGACGAAAAGAAAGGATTGCTTCATCTTTCTAAGCAATCAGTAGTGTTTCTGTTCCAAATGCACGCTGTGAAGGCCCTCTTCACTTTCATTAGGTACCATGTGTTGTGACTGTCCTTTAACAATAAATTCTAATATCCTGGAATTAACTGAAAACCAAAATATGGGTGTATTCAGCAAGGGCTGTAAAAAAGGGAACATGGGGCCAGGCAGAATTGAATGAGCTGTTCCAAAGAGGTTGACAAATACCAAAACAGATGATTACTTTGAAGCACAGAGTGAAGTAGACACAGATTGAAATTAAGGAGGTAGGTATCTCTTAGTACAAAGGACCGTACTTAAACATAGAACCTCTTCATACTGTAGCAATTAATAAGCATTTAAAAATGTTGAGCTACACACAGGAATTCAATCTTTTCCCATAAAATCAGATTATGTGATACAGTATGTGTGAAAGAATCCACCGACTCTTCTGCTATCATGTACTGTAGTATTACAGTAAATGTCTTGCATACATTTCTTATTATTTTACAGTGGTTTTGACTTCCTTTTCTATAGAGTTACTAAAAATGATCCCTCCATTCAGCGATAAAGTATTAAGACACCCTCATACGTACTAAAAGTGGTTATGTTCAACAGGAGGAAAGCATCACAAAAGCATGCTAACCATTTATATACAAGTGTATAAACCCCCAAAATAATTTTTCAATCCTGTGTGTCTGTAAAAATGATCCCATCCTTCATTGCTATGCATTTAATGAGCAGAGGGAAATCAGTTTCCATTTTTTTCGCCAATATGTGAATATTCTAGATGCCACTTTGTTCCCCATTGTTGTTTATAAACAATCTCCTTTTGTTTTTCCGTTTAGATTTTAAAATGTATCAGAGAGCATTCCTGTAGGATGAGTGTGAGTCAAAAAAGACTCGCATTTCAAGGGACTTGAGTGAACAATACTTTTCCCATAGGCTTCAAACGGTTGTCAGTAGTGCTCTTAACACGCCACATGTCTTTTTAATCATTTTGTTTAGGTTTTCAGGAACTTTGCCTCCACTCAGAAACTTTTGTCCAGACAAAAAACATTGTGTGTATATCCCTAATTCCAAGGTGAAACGCAGTGTCGCTCTTTTAACCGACAACACGTGAGATAATAACAAGTAAAATAAAAAATACCTTAATTACATGTCTCCACCTCCCCCAGGAAGTGCATTTTCACCACTATCTTGCAGATAAACTGCTACTTAACAGAAAAATATTCGAAGAATATATGAAAACCCCAACCTGCCCTGGGATTTTAACCTTGTTTTTAAGTCCTGTGAGGAAGATCTCTGGTAACTAACCACAGGACTCATCGGGAGACACCTATTACTTGTACGGAGGACGTTAAACAAGTTAAAACTGCAATAGCTGAAAAGTTGTTTCCCTGTAGGGCACTGCCTTAAGCGCACCGTTTTAAAAAAAAAATCAATGTGATTTTTATGTGCTTAATTTTCTTTTAAATTAGAGCATACCGTCCGTCTAGAAATGCGTCCTTTGGAAACCGATGTTTTGTGTGTATCTGTCTTAAGCGTGTCATTAGGCGCTTGCCTCGACTTGAAGGAGAGTAAACTACAACTTCTAAGGGACTGACAGCTTCGGGAGAAAAAAAAAATTAGTCCTGCCCTTCTCTCAAAGATTTCCTGTTTCGCGAAAGAAGTGAATACAGTCACTCTCTGACTCATAACCCGGGGTTTAGAGTATTTTCATAGCTGAAGGCAGGCGCACAGAGTTTGAGACCAACATTTTTTTTTCTCCAAAAAAAAAAAAGAAGAGTTGTTTTCTTCGACTTTTCTTTCCCCACTTTGCAACAGAAGCGCACAACGTTGAAACCTTCAATTGGGAGGAAGGGGGGAACATTTCCTCTCCGCTTTTGAAGGGCAAGGGAAGAGAGAGCAAAAAAGAAACATTTTAATGAAAAGTCAAGGAAAGGTATCGGTGTTTGTCTAAATGAACCGACTTCGTTTATCAGTCGTGCTGTGGAGCACTACCCTGTTCGCCAGCTCTGTGCTCTTCGGCCGGACGGGTGAGTCTTGTTGAAGGTTTTATTCACCCTTGAACTTCACCAATTTCTTTACCCCTTTTTATAAAAAAATATATTTTAGCCAGTCCAGTCGAGTTCGTTTTTTTTTAATTGTTGTCCACAAGCTGCCGGGTCTGTTTGAGAAAGCAGCAAATAAATAAATAAAACGTTTCTTCTATCGCAGGGGGCTCGTTGTTGCAGAAGTACAGTATACGCGTTATTTCCTTATGTCTTTTGCTTTTGAAGGCTGAAAAGTTTTTTGAGGTTAAAAACTAACAGCAATGCGTACGGATATGCGCCACAGGTGGTTGAACTGTGAAAGGGCAGACGACCCCCCCAAAAATGAGAAATCATATTTTGGGGGTGTCTTCTGTTGTTATACCTGTAAACGTGTGTTGGAGTACTACGTACTGTATCTTTCTTTTTCTTTTCAAAATGATCTTGCAGCCACCAGACTATCAATCTTCAAGGTTAATACTACCATGTTTTTTTTTTGCCCATACGGAAACTGTATTGCACATTGTAGATTTCTTTATCTGCTGTAGCAGCTAATGATTTGTGCTTATATACAGAAATATAGTAACGTACATTTGGGAAATGGTGGTGTTTCTGAAATGTATCTGAGCACCTTGCCAGTTATCCGCTGGTAATGAAAGTGCTGTAACTGTTTGGGGGAAGTTCAGTTTTTCTTTTTCACTGGGCGGAATTTCTCTCCCATGTAAACGCTAATTGCATTTGTTCAGTTTAGATATGATATCGAATAGCGTGCTCCTTTTTTGCCATACAGTGAGTTATATCCGGATGAAAGTGGTGTTGCTGGGTTTTAAAGTTGAAGGCCCTTACTCCGGAGTGTGTGTAGATGAATGTACTGTATACGGTTGTCAGTGTAGTCTCAGAGGAAGAGCTATCTCCTTTACATTCTTCTTTTACAGCAAACCCGTTGTTTTGTACTGTGAGTGATCAGTTATTCGATTGTTTATATAAATATGATGAGCACTTAAAGCGCCTTAAAACAGGCAGCGTGAAAACACCAGTCGTGGATTAACATACTGAACTGTAAAACTTAGTGGCGTCAGGATAGGTGCAGTATGCAGCAACTTTTTGCACAAGTGCCTGAAGCGATTTTGTGTGGGGGTAGCCAAGTATGTTTTGCACCTCGGCCTAACACTGCAACGCAGTTCAGTCTTGCAACATGTTTTTTTTTTCTCTCTCAGTATTGAAAACACCACTTGAAGTTGCAGAGTTTTCCAAATAAATTCTTGCTGTGCAGACAGAGTCCCACTTACCTGTTTGGTTTTGTAATTAATTTTACATTTATACATTAGTGGTCCATACATCCATTTTCTAACCTCTTTATCCAATACGGGGTCACTTGGGATCCTGAGTCTATCCCAGCAAGTCAGGGAGTAAGGCAGGATACACCCTGGATGGGATGCCAGTCCATCACAGGGCACATACAGACAAAAACACACGCACACTTAAACCAGGGTCAGTTTTTTACAGAAGCCAGTTAACCTCCTGGTATGTCTTTGGATAAGAGCACCCCGAGGAAACTCACTTAAACACAGGGAGAACATCCAGAAACTACTCTCAGACAGCAGCCCAGGTCCAGAATTGATCCCAGGGCTACAGTGCTGAACTAGTGTACCCCTGTGCCAAAGCAATAGACCACATGAAGTCAGCAAATACAGTGCATTTATCTGATATACCTTGTGCATTTTGAGGGAGAAAAGTGTGTTGGTATGGAGTTAATTTGCAAGTAGAGAAAGTGTGGGGGGAAAAACAAGCTTTATCAGAAAGACAGAGTTGTGTGAGACGAAATGTCAGTTTATTTTGAAAGATGACAGATCCCAGATAGATAAACTGCTATTATATCCATGTCTGTAAAACTATCCTTTTAAAGCTGGAATGTGCTTGCAATTAACATGAGCATCAAATTGGATTAGTAATATTTCTTGCTGCATATAATTTTCTATTTATTGTTCTTTCACTAAATCTGTCATTATTACTTCTCATGTGGTTTTAATAGTGCTGAGTACTGTGTATGTTACAGAGGACTAATAATCTAATGACCTAATGTTGAAAATATGAGAGGTGTAGGAATTTCCTGTCAAAAGCTGTATAGATTGCAAAACAGTCATGTACGGAGAAAATATTTTGCCTCTCAGGCCTCGGAGGATCCAAGCAATAACACATAATTTCAAGAGCAGTGGTATGTTTATTTCACAAAAGGTGATAAGAAGGTTAAGTAATGAAAGAGTAAATCTCTGTAAATAAAGTGCTTTAGACAGCAGAGGGGAAAAAATGTTCTATTGGAAGCTACAGTGTGCGAACCGGTGAAACGTCGAGATCTGCAATGTGCTGCATGTGAAGGCCTGTGGCAAAGGAACACCTATCTTAGCTTTGTGTGTTTTCACAGAGCCATACAATGTGTACAATACATCTGCCCTCCTGCTGAGATATTCAGAATGGCACCATTGAATGCACGCTTTACTCTTTCACAAGATTGACTTGGGTGCAAATCAGGAGGGTCGTCTTGCGTTCATTTGTGCGTTCCGTTTCGAGAACGAAATGGACTCGTTGATGCTGCAGCAGTGCCTTGGATGCAGTGATGCTGCTCGATGCCATGTTGTTTCAGGCATGAGCGACGCCCCATGGCAGTGGAAGAGATACATTGTTCCATTTGCGTTGCTGCGATTGTCTGGATTGCTGTCTGTGA